CGGGGGAGGGGGGTGAACGGTTGTGTGAGTTTGTGACCTCGTCGCGGTCGGCGAGGCGAGAGACGGTGCGCGGCGGTGGTTACGTCGCGAGCGCGTGTTTGCCGACAGGCGGCGCGGCGGTCGGCTACGCGACGGGGCCCTGGCCCGACGACGCACGGCGGCGCGCCGGGCGAAAACGCGTTTTTAAAAAAACTCAATTCCGATCATTCCACACATTCCGATCCGTGCTGTCGAAACCGCAGCACACTCTTGCACATACACAGGCGCGCGTTCACGCACACACACACTTATATATATATATATATATATATATATATACATATACATGTATTAGGTACACGACGGAGAGCGCTGGCGCGCGCGCGCACGTATATTGTGCCGCATAGTGACGTTCCCCGACCGCGGGACACCACAACCGAATCCGTTTGAGAACAGGTAAGTCCTCTTGCCGGGGATTCGTCGCGGAACACACGAACGATTATCGCGCGATCAACGCAGCGCTGTTTGTTGCGCACCATTATTAACGTTACGCGTCTGTCACGTATGTTGTGATCACTCGCCACTGTTTTACACGGACGAAAACCGTGCCCGGTATCCGTGATTGACCGTAAACGATATCGTATCTTTGCGACGGTAGTACGTGTGCGCGCACGTTTTCGTCGATATCATATACGTTCGAGTCTTTGCGACGACCGTCGGCGCCGCACCAGCAGCAGTTCAAAACTAGCTGCAGGAGAACCAGATATTTGTTATTGCCCGTCATGGAAAGCGAATCGCCGTTGGAAGTGTTGTCCAGGGCGGCGACAATGCTGCACAGGGAAGAGGCGGCCGCGGAATCGCCCTACGTCTCCAGTGAGTATACTGTCATATTAGCTGTTACTATCGTTCGTCAGTGTTCGCGTACGAGTATCGGGTTCGCTGAGCATTGTGTCGCGCGACGTTGATGTTATTTTATCGGGCGGGCGCGCGCCGTGCACTCGGCAGGCCGAAATATTGAGCGATGGTTCCGTTGCTATTACCATATCGCATTATATTCCTCAGGGGCCGCCGACGCCGCCACCGCCGCCGCCACCGCCACCGCGTCGACGACGAGCGTGCGCGCCGGTTTCCCCGATCGTTATCGAGCCGGTCGATTTCTCCGGTCGGCCGTCGGTTCGGTTGCCTACACGCGCGCCCAGCCGCCGCCGCCGCCGCCGGACAAGTTTTCCGACGGCCCGCGGAAAACTCCGACGGTCACCCCTCGCAACCGTCACCGCCGCCGGATATCGCCCTGGTTCAATCCGCATAATGGGCGGGAGAGGGGGACGTACGCGCTTACGATGCCGCCGTCTGACGTCACGGAGCTTTCCGTTCGTCGCCCCGAAATTTCCGTTTCGCGTGGACGTCACCCTCACACTTACTCGATCCCGGAGGGGTTGGTGACCAACGACTCGTCTTGGGCGATTGTTTACGGGTCCTATGTTTTTCGTTTTAAAGTTTAGTCGTGCAATATTCCATGAGTTTTTTTTTTCGTTTTTATTACTATTATTTCATTAAATTCTATCGTTCCAGTTAATAATACGCGCGTCTTGCGTTACGTTTGGTTTGCCGTAAAACGATTTCGACGCATTCGATTTCTATAACTTTCAAGACATTTCGTCGAGTGGGGTTCGGAGGAGAGGTGATACTTGGACCAATCTTACGATCTTGTTTCCTTGTGTGCACGGTACACTTTACGACAAGTGTTTACTGTATAATACGTATATAAACGAATGACGATTTATCCGTAGGAACGTATACGTTTTTGCGTTGAATACTTTTATAATTCCTACTCCCGGATTCTTTGATTTAGGATTTTCGTAATGTTTTATCACTTTGACTCTCGGGACTAGGCGAAAAATCTGTATCTCCGAGTCAAAAGTATTACCTTCGTGTGATATTGTATACGAACATTACTGTCAATAAACTAATAGTTACATATTGTTATGATCATCGGTTAGACTGTATGTGATCTTAACATGCATTTCTTTAACTATAGTGTGTACAGTACTACTTTTAGGGATAACGATTGATTCGATTTGCGCAACGAACAGTACAGCGTAATATATAATATATAAAATTTTATATCTATCTTTGTGTGTGTGTGTGACTATACATTTTAAAACATGAAAATAATAGGTCGATTTCTATTCTGTTGCTAATACATTCTTCATAAATGTAATTGTAATTTCGCCTTCAAATAACTTTCGTTTAAATAAAAATACAATATTCTAGTACTTTCATGCAGTTGTTTTTCGATTTTATTCTGTATATGGTATATACGAGTATATTTCTAAATAAATAAATAAGATGACAATCATTCTATCAAATGGTTCGATTGTATATAAAATTTATTTAGAAACATGTGAATGTGTCCGGACTTTGATATTTTAATTTTTCAAGTTATAAATTAAAATCATTGAAACGATTAGTGTTGATTGCACACATATCAATGTACTTCTAAAGGTACTTACATAATTCGATTATGTATCAAATCAATTAATTGCTAACTAAAGTATCATTACTAAATTATAAGCTAGTATTTACAAGATTATCTATTTAGAGATGAGAAAAACATTGTTAATCATAATTTTAATAGCATTAGGTAGATATACATAATAAAATGTATTTAATGACATAAAACTTAATCCAATATTGAATCCTACAATATAATTTTTTTTTAAACGAAGTGGATATTAACTATCAGTACTTAACATGCAAAGTATTATTATCATTAAGTATACGAACGCATAGATAATTATGTATATACATTATATACATATAAATCTAGATTAAACGGAGATGGTCACTCTATCAGCCCTATTTCATATGATTTTTAGTATTTGTCAACAAAAAAAAAAAAAAAAAAAAAAAAAAATAAAGAATTTAAACTTCTCAATAAAGCATGAACTATATTTTTTTTTATTAGGTATTAGTCACTACAAGATTTTTGTACTTAATTTATTTGTCTAACTGCGTGATAAATTAAAAAATCAATTCACATTTTTCATATATTTTATAAATTGCAAAGTAAAGTATAAGACTACAGTAAAATATAAATTATTTAATATTTATTTATGTCACAATTTATTTCCTATCCTATAGTTGTATAGGTCACGTTCTAAATAAGTAAATATATAATTATAAATTATATTAAACATAAAATAATATTCATCTTTAAATTAATGGATTTAATATAAAAATATGTAATAAACCATTTGTGTATAAAACTGCATTAGTACTTTAAGCTGATTATTTTAAAGTTGGCTCATAACAAGGTATGTAATTAAAACTGATCAAATAAAATGTATTATTCTTAATTTGTATAATATTTTGTAATTTTTCATCAGAGTTGTTTTACCTTCAATTAATTAATTCATAATCGTTTTTAAACGGTTTGATTTAAAATTGTACAATTTATATATTATACAAATGCCTCACGATAACAGATTTTTTTTAACCTAAACAAATAAGTGGTCAAATTGCATACAATGGAACACTACCTATAAATTTTTTATTGCAAATACATTTTCATTTTTTACGAACCATATTAAATAAAAAAAGTATCATATTTTTATCTATTAATTTTGATTATTTATTAAAATGGGAGGTGCAGGTATTAAATTCTTATATAATTATTCTAATGATGGCAATTAATAACTACTATTACATTTTATATTTATATAGAGACAATCAATTGATTTAAAAAAATAATAATTGTATAGTATAATTGTATTTTGGTATTTGATTAACGATTATCACATTATAAAATGTATTAAATAACGATCTTCTTACTTACTGTTTTATGCAGTGATTCGTTGATTGCGTTGTGATAAAAGATTTTAATTTAATTGTAGACGGGAAACTGAACTTGTGATAGAGCTGGGATCACTCTTCAGAAGTCAATTAATCTATGTCACTTTATTAGCAGTACACAGGACCTGAAATAAGTGTATGGTCTGTGTTGGCACAAATAAGGCCTGTTATATCCCCTTAAAAAATGTGGGTTATTTGCATCTATAAAGGTCTGTGTATGTGTCAGCTAATCACCACGGTATTCAATATTATCTCATAAAAATTCACTCAACTGATACACTAGAAAATGTTCTCATTAGCTATTTTTTTTTAATACTTTTGACATATGGTTAATGTTTTACTATTTTATAACTTTTATAAATTGTATAAGATGTTTGTTTTAGCTCATCAATATCGTCTGTAAAAGGGGGAGTGTTTAGAAGAGCTTTTGTCTCTATTTCAAAATGTTTCGAATTTTATCGCTATGTTTTTTAATACTATATTTAGTAACATATTCTTGTATATTTCGAATTATATTAATAAAATAATAAAAAAAAAAATTCACATTGTATTTATGCCCTAGTTCATGCAAAATAAATTAATTTATATTATGACTATTCGCTAACGGTAAAAAAAAAAAGTTATATTTATTAATATTATAATTTTATAAATTGTATAAGTTCTATCATATCAAAGAAAATTATAGAAAGTTTAGAAAACAGAAAAATAACATATTTTTGCTCCTAAAACATAAGCATACCTATACTTAATCATTGTTAGGATGGCTTTTTCGGTTATACCTACTTTATTATTATTATATGGCATTCAAAAAATATATCCTTTGGTATTCATTGTAGTATGAAATATTGTTTTGAATAAACTACGATATTACAAAATTATAAAAACTTATTTTGATTTTATTAAATTATGGTTATTCTTTAAAAGTACATTGAAATTGCCTATACTGAGCGCCGTAAAAACCGTACATATTGCTTTATTTTATATTTTGTATTTTTAATTATGTAGTTGTTGATGATTTGCCTAGTAGTAAAAATATTGATCAATTTTATTTATTTTAACTAGGATTTAAATTCTTTTAAAGAATTAAATAAAGAAATGTTATTGTTTGAATTAATTCAGCCTCCTTTTTTTCCTTTCTTTTTTCTTTGATTACTATAGAATAATAAAAAAAGGTCTAACAAAATTTAGTCAATATTCTTATTATTTAGTTTAGAATCTAAAATTAAATATAATTTCACGTAAAATTAATAATTTTCTTAGTATTTTATATGTTTACTAATATTTAATGAACAAGTCGTAAAATTAAACGATTTTGCATATCGGCTTTTAATATATATATTTATACTGTTAAATAATAGTAATAATTAAGCTATTAATTTTTTATTTGAAAAATCATAGACTAGGTGATATTAAAATGTTATAAGAGTGCGAGTTCTGTTATTTTAATGAATTATAGAATTTGCCTAATATTGGTCGAGACCTTACGGCCAACATGCACCTTGTTTTAACGAGAGGTCTTAATCAAGGGTTTCAAGTTATTAAAAGTTATTTAAGGCGCGGTAGAGCAGGCCCTAAGTTTTTAATAGGCTCGAGTTGTCATAGGGACCATCAGAAACGGACCCGAGTCTGTACCTGTCTAGAGCACGGATCGAGAACTTTTTGAATCCCACGGTTGCCATTGTGTCGTGTGGTTGTGTTACTGGTTTTGTTTCGTTTGTTCCGATAGCGGTAATTACCCGTTTCCGCCATAGCCCTTTTCTGCCAAAAAAGAAAAAGGTACGATTCCCGTTTCCGTCAAAAAAAGTTTGGAAACCATTGGTTTTAATTTTTAAACAATATTGAATGCATGTTATGGTATGTGTTAAAGACATTTGTATTGTATAGGTAATGTATGGTACACTGATAATATTCAATAATTATTGATAATCGTCGATAATAACGGTTAATAATAACGGTTTAAATATTATATTATCAAAATATATATATATATATATATGTATCAAATATATCAAAATTAA